TATATATATATATATATATATATAAAAGAGAGACCACGAGACAGACTAAATTAACTACTTGAAAGAGGTACTCGGGATAATGTCGCGACCGCGCGGCTTTATTAAAAAATTAACTCCGTTAAAAAGTTAGCCGCACGTATAAAAATCGAAGTCTTCTCTTCTCAGTTTATTTTATCTACGATGCTATTATTTGTTGGCCATATTCTGTACTATCGTAATTTTGCAATATTTTCCGATAAAAGAATTAAATTTTTGAGAATTATACAAACATAAAATATTTTTATTATAATTTATAAAATATGTAAATACATATTAATACATAGTATATTTGTAACATATGTATGTACGGAAAGAATGATTTTGCTAAAAAAATCTACAATTTTGCTGGATCAGATAAATAAATAATTTTTGGATCATCAAAATAATTTTGTTGAAAATTCCAACTGTTTATTAGAATATCAAAATTTGTTTGTAGCACTGCTCAGCATTTTTTAATTTCCAATCAAATTATTTTGATGGTAAAAAAAATTAATTTAGATCCAGCCAAAATTTTACATTTTTCAATCAAATCATTCTTTCCGTGTAAATGCAAGGATATATGAACAGAATATATGTATAGGACTTTCATGAAATTGAATTTTACATTGGTATATAATAAAATAAAATCTTGTTCTTTTTAAAATTTGAAATAAAATTTATTTTAATGACATTTTAAATTGCTATATCAAGATATTTGATGTTGTGTTTAATCAATTTTCATTAAAATAAAATATATTTGAAATTAACGAAAAATTTCTCTGCATAGAAAATAACACAGTGAACGCTGAATATTTTGCAAATTCAAAAGATACCCAGTAATGAAGGAAAAGTGGCAGTTTTAACGTAAAACGGGACCGTTTTGATGCAATCATGTGTATCGTGCGGTTCATGCATAATACGGGTGCACGCGTATAACGCGTTATTTCACGCGAGAGAACACTCGAGCGACGCATTACACACGCTTCGCACGTAACAACATCGAGAGTAACACCATGCCACAGCATGGCAGCGCAGCTTGCAGCTCGTTACGTGTGTCGCGTATCCTCGAGAATCTCCATACAAGAAGAGACACTCTCTCTCTCTCTCTCTCTCTCTCTCTCTCTCTCTCTCTCTCTCTCTCTCTCTCTTTCCCTTACCATCGTTGCTTATAAAAACTGCCCATTTGAGGGAAAGATCGCGCGCGTAAAAGTAGACGGCGCGAACATCATAACTGGGTGCACGAACTGAGAGTTTTAATTACGTGGACGTAAGCTTTGTGAAATTTTGTAAAGTTTTAAAAGAGGAGGAGCGCGAGAAAGGATTGTTAGAAATTGCCGAAAACCGGCGGCATCACGTGCGAATCCGGGAGTGCGACAATTCAGAAGGGGGGGGGGGGGTGAGAATGAGAAAAGGGCGGAGATACCGAAGAAGGATCCATTGGAAGAAATAAAGCAGCCATGTTCCTTTTGAGCAATATGGAAATAAAGGTCGCTATCCGTGTAAAAGTTTTAGTGTCACCTCCGCGGGTTTATTGCTCCCTGGAGAATCTCCTTCTTTTTTTTCCTAACCCTCCTTCCTGACTGTCCTTCCTGTTCTCTCTTCTCGTTGCTCTCGCTTCTTATCTCTCGCTTTAGCCTCAACTTCGGTTCGGTAGGGACCGACCAGCCGCAGGCGACCACCTCAACAATCTCCTCCTCTTCCTCATCTTCTTCCGCCCTGACTGCTATTCTGGTCTTTTTTCTCGCCCAGGAAACAACCTTCGACCGGGCTGTCCCTCATCAGGACATTACGTCTGCAGCATCCTGATCGATAATCGCTTTTCGTTTTGTTCCGTCGATTACCGAGGACTCGCGGTCATCGACCGTAGAAAAACCGCGATACATGTACACAGTTCTCTTTATCCTTTCTTCCATCTCTTTACCTCGCCGTATGGTTGCGAAGATCTGAAAAACATCGATGGTGGTCCAACACTGGCCGGATAACGGCGATTATCCGCCGTGAAAGAACCTGCGCATGTAAGTTCTCGGTAATACCATTTAGATTACACGTGATTACGCTACCGGTGGCAGGGCATCTCCCGGCATGAAATTCAGTCCTTAGGCGCGCCATTACTTCAATTAACTACTTACGTAGAAAAGCAATTTGCGTAGAAGCAATATCTGAACATGCTGCAAAGTTTAATAAAAGATTTTGATATATTTAAATAACATTTTGTAGATTTTAAAGTTACATCGGGAATTTCAAGAATTAAATCATTACACACTAATCACAACTTTGCGAACTTGATCTAAGAAGAAGACATAGAAATCAACTTGCAAATACTCCTATGTAATGAGAGATCTCAGATAATGAGTTCTCTTCTGCATTGATTATATCGGACATCATCTGCACTTAATTATATGTTTTCATATATAATTTTCCAAAATATATAGCAACGTATCTTTGATGACAACTCGAAAATACCTTTTTCTTTTATTTCTCATTAAATAAATAACAAATTTTTCGTAATATTAAATTTGTTTTAGTACGATTTTTAATCGGCGATTGTTATCTTCAGTCTTTCAAGCGTTCGCCATCGATGCTTACGGGATTACGTTGGATCAACGAAAGCAATTCCGCAGCATGCAAACACTAGAGCGAACGCGGCTAATTGCAGTTTTAATCACAATGCCGGATAAACGTTTACTCACGACGTCGACATTGTGCTGTTTCAGATACTGAGGGATATCCGGCAGGGTTTAATGCAGCTAGGACGAGACGGACGGGGTCAGCTCCCTGGGGGTAAGTACATCAAGGGCTAACCTCCCGCTAGTTGTCGCCTCGTCTCTCCACGACCTATAACCCGCCCTCTCTTACTCTCTGCCCGTGTATGTATAGGCGCGTACGTGAGTGCGGAAATGTAAACGTGTGCGTGCACATTGAACAAAACGTACACGTGCCACAACTGGTATGAGAATCGACTCCCAAATGCCTGACACCTCGTGTAGCTGCTCACTCTCGCGAGACTCATTTTGAGCATTCGTTTCCTGATGGCTCCCCTCGTAGTCTTTCACGAAATCTCGCTCTCCATAGCCTCAGCTTTTTACGATAAAATGGAGACGAACCAGAATGATTCCTATGCCTCACAAAAAGCATACACTGGAAAGAAAAAGGAAATAACTGTTGATTTAGGATTTGTTTAACATTGAATGTTAAATATAAGATGGTAGAATATAAAATATAGAATATAAATAATATAGAATATAAATAATAATGCAAGTTGAAATATAACAAGCACTCTTTGAAAACCTAGCTTATATTGTGGCTTCTATTGTTTAAAAAAATTATTAAAATGTAAATTGAAAAATTATTCAATTATATTTAATAATTATTTAAGTACACAGAAGATAAGTACGATTAATATTTTATTCATCATTATTATTTTTAAACGATAAAAACTTATTGACATTAATCATATTAGTTATTCTTAACTATATTACTTTTATTATTGAGAATATATGCTAAGAAGAAATAAATGTTAAATGTAATTTTACTAAAAGCTTGTTTCACGTAATTTGTGACATTTATTTATATTTTATTAAAAATATCGGAGAAATTCTCAAACATTTAAAATTAAATAATGAAACAAAGAAAAAGTATAAAGTACTTATAAAACTAATAACATATGAATTTATATATTTTATACATTGAGAATTATTAAAGATAGATAATTACAACGTGCGTCTGATGTTATTTCACATATTTCATGAATATGCTCTTTATTGTCGATTTATCATTAATGTAGTTGTTTTACTTCCTATGCACAAAGCTGCTTCAGCACGTCGCGAAATCCTTCGCACACGGGAACTAATCTCGTTATTGTTAGTACCCGCCATCTTCATTTTCCAAACCCTCTTTGCTATCTACTTCTCTTACACTTTCTCTCCCTTTCTCTTCCTTTACATAATGGCATGCACACTCTTGTCATTCCCAGGTTTCTAAAAGTAGATCCAAATTCTGGTCAAATTAAAGTCTGTTAAACGTAATTTTACTCAGTACATTCATGATTAATATTTTAAATCTTAGAATTGTTAACATATTAGGTGTAGGAAAAAGTTCGTGGCGTTTTTTTAATGCCATCTAACGGGAAAAACACCATGAACTTTTTCCTACACCTAATATTTTTTGAAGATTTTTAGTATATCATTAGGACATAATACACGAACATTCATTTATTGAGTTTTTAAATCAACAACTTGCAATTTTGTTTATTTTTTATATTCTTTAATATATTTTCGATTAAAAATATTATCTTCTTTTTTAATATTATCTTTTAAATGGTATTCAATTTAAAATTATTGAAATTATTTTTCTTCTAAGTTTCTGCAAAATTTGATAGAATGCACACACCAAAATTAATTATATTTATTTTATTTTAATTTTTAATCGAGAATTAAAATTATTAATTTAATATTTGCAAATCAGAAACAAAATAATGATTTGCAGATGATACGTACATGTACGACGAAGACGCGCGATGCGGAGGTGCAGGTAGTTTAGGTCCTGGACCAGGCGGTCATTGGTACGACGAACCACCTTATGAATCAGACCCCGAAGACTTTCTTATGGGAGCCAGTGGCGGTCCAGTACCTACCGCAACTATTCAAAACGGAAGGTAATGTTTCCGCAATTTAAAATAAGAATAAGTCTGAATTATTTCCATAGACATTTTGATAATTCCATAGACATTTTATTATAGGTATATGCAAAACATAAAAAAATAGATTCATATTTTTTTATTTTTATGCCTTAGAAATTGAACAACCTTAAAATAATGGATTTTTTCATTTTTCAAATATCTTCGAAACTATGAAGTATATAAAAATGCTTTATACAAAAGTTTTATGGTATTTCATATTCTTAATAACATTTTATTCACATTTAAAAATTTTTAATTTATCTTTATCTTCAGGAATAGTTTCGATCCCTAAACCTTGAGATAATTAGACAAAAATATGAGTTTAATTTTTGATGCTATACTCTATAACATATTCAAAGCTGATCAGAATTGATGAGGGACAGTTCCAACGGTACCTTTATAAATATTTATAAATATTTATAGTGTACACAATTTTATGAATCTTGAAAAAATATAGATCTTTCCATTACGATTAAATAACACAATCGAATATCAGGGTATGTTTCACGCTGAATATGAGGCCAGAAAATCGAAGCGAGGGTGTGATATCTCTTCGAACAGCCGGTGATATCAGTTTGCCGCGCGATCGCTCGAGGAAAGGTGCAACATCAACGATGCGAGGTCTTATTGTTCCTCAGGGTCACAATAATCCACCGACGATCATACCCTTAACGCATTCGAGAGCTTCTCGTGAGAGCGGAGATTACGCGAGTAGCGATGTGCAGGTAAGTCCATCGTCATCGAGCGACAATCCGGGTAATTTCAAGTCACTTCGTAAACGTTCAAACATTGTCAGTACAAACATTGTCACGTTCATGCGGAAATTCCTTTGCTGCTAGTACAATCTCAAGTTACATCATCTTATAAATGCTTTAATATCTTATTGTTAGTACAAGCGGCGGAATGTTTATATATATAGTGAATAAATAGCCAACTAATGTCCCTTAAAAATAAAGCTCGGTGATATTTTTGTGCTATGATTTTTGTAATTTCTTATTTACGTTCAGAGAGAGCTAGTCTTAGTTAAGCCTTGACAAAGTGAACAAAACGACACATGCTACCCTTCAGAATTCCGTCGAAATTACTAAATCACTGTACCCCAAGTAAGTCACCGAACATCATTAAGTCGCGGGTAATATTATTGTAACGAGGCGTAATATTAAAGGACCGAATTCAGTCTGGATAAATCCCGTTAGATCGTAGTCGTCACTCCATAGCGAAATTACATTAAGTCATTGCATTGCGATAAGCGCACCACGCAGAGGACGCGGATACTGTTGGATTCCCTTAGCCCTCGCCCAAATTTGATCTCCCCTGAGAAGCGCAGATCCGACTGGCTCGGATCTCATGGGCGTACAACGGGGGTTGGGAGAGAAAGGTTGGCGCCTACCTTCTCGCGGGCGTACGTCACGGCGTGATTTATTTAATTTTGGGGCTGCAGAGTGTGAGCTCGAGACTGTCGACTGTGTCGGTGGACACGAGTAGGAGCGACCAGCCTTCGGTGGGCGGTCGTCATCCCGATCGGCCGGAGCATCACCATGAGCACCGTCACAACCATCGCCATCATCACGAACATCACCACTCGGTCTCACCCCGACCCAATCAGCGTCACCCCGCCGCTAGCACGACCGTTACCAACACCGTCACCGACGCAACGTCACCGCAAAGCAACGCGCAACGCCGCCCGGTTCCCAGATATGTTCGTATCTGCCGAATCTATGGATGACGTAGCTCTCTCCCTATCACCTCTCCCGCAGGCACATCCAGGCCAGTTTCCATACTACTCTCTCTAACTCACCTGTGTACGCTTGTCTGGCGCGTGACATATGTACTCGATTTATTACATTTAGCTATGGCGAACGTCTTCAAAAATAGAAGACGGAGGAATATCCTGACTAATTAGATACAATAAATGTGAGGATTTTCGTATTCGTGAATATTTTTCGTTCGGCTTATCTCGTGCATGTCAGATCGCGAGATTCCCTCGCGAAGAAATTGCATTGTACTCGATTGCCATATGTACGGTTGCTACGTTTGAGTGAGATGCTGCCGTTTTCCGGTCAGTTTCCGGCGGGTTGCCTCGGTGAATTCAAGGGCTGAGAGCCACTCGATCCATCCGTCGGACGGACAATGAGAATCCATGAGATTTACGGATTGTTTGCGAGGAATCGGGCACGACGGCTCGACAATGTGGCGATTGCGTTGAAATCACGTCGAATCTACCAGTTTTCTCGTCCGCCGAACAAACGTTATTCTTCGTCAACTTCGCAAACTTGATAACGATCGGATACCACTACCATGGTAGAGCTTCAGCATTTATCAGCGTCTTGTTTGAATTGCCGGGAAATGTATGCTTTCTTAATAATTCTTTCTCATTCTTTTCGTCGATCAATGTTTATTATAACAAAGATAAAATACTACAACATATTATTATAAAAATATATAAAATATAAAGAGCAATGAATTTAAGAAATAAAGTTTATAATCATTAAGATATTTAAAACTAGAGATTATAAAGGATTGATAAATGACACTTTAAAATTTTTGACGAAGCATGATCCATGGTTTGCGCTTTATACACATATATATATATTTGATTCTATATATATATTTGATTTATATCTTTACTGTAGTTCAATCGTGATAGTTGGACGTGCAACATTATAATAATCGTGCTTGACGTTTAAGCAAAAACTGGAGAACCTCATAATCTGATCAGAGCACCCCAGAATAAGGTGCCTCATTTCCTGCTCTGACGCCTACACAGCACTGACAGCCTCTATGTATATAAATAATACTCACACACTGACACGCCAATATTAAGTATATCACTAACCCATCTAAATCGGCGTAGCCTGCATACGCTCTTTATTTTCTCATGTAACACGCAATCCCTCTCTCTATTAATATATCGAATGTATAACGTGGTTAACACGTCATGTGTAACACTTATATACTTAACTCCCCTAACTCATGTATATCTGCTGCTATTATTTAGTTTATCGCGAAAGTTACCTCGAAAGAAACATTAAATGTTTAACATGGGAACAATTAATAGTACACTTATTTATGTACACTTTCAAAATATTTGAAAACAGTTTGATTTTAACAGAGATTTCATCCATGCACATCTCGCAAATTATTTTATTGTGCAATTATTTATGAAGTTGTGATACTGAAAAATGGATAATAGATATTTTTAATAGTATAGATAGATCTCTTTTAGAGTGAATGTCATTCTGAAGATTGAAATCTCACTCTTAAAGATTGAAAATTAAACTCTTTTAAAACTGGCTCAATTTTAATTTTTTAGAGAGATTCTATTCCAAGTATTTAGAGAAATCTATTTAAATTCTATATTTTCGTATACCGATTGCAATTATTTCAAGGTTTACATACTAATTTTATGTTATTAAAAAAAAACTTTCGAGGTAGCCCTTGCGCCTGCACGTACGATATAATATTTTTGATATTGGGTACTGTATATCTTTATGCCTCTGTGCCTCTCATACCTGCTCTGAACCACCAGTGGCGGTCTCGCGTGTCCGATATTACTTAGCGATATGCCCGTAACCGTCGCCCTGTCTAACAGCATTCGCGCTATTAGATCCATCATAGTGTACCCGCTTCCTCCTTCTGTATTTCGCTATTAGAACTGTTTCTACGAAGTGTCAACATTTTAGAGTCGGAGTAGCGGCGAGGAGGGACTGTCACCGAGCCAGAGTAGCGATTATGAAGATCAAGAAGAACTTGAAAGTCAACACTCGGCCGCCGTACATACAGTACGTAACGTATGAAAGTAGTCTTTCGGGAAAACGTGCAGATTTTATTTTTATTTTTTCCGCATTTTTCCTTTTTCGCTATTTCTACGTGTATACTCAGATGCATGGCGTCCTCAGTCACTATTATACGAATAGATACAGGCAGCGCGTCCAAACAGTACGATAACTAAGAAAAACATGCCTGTGCACACAACTGTCACTGACGGGTGATTAGTAGAATCACAAAGTATTGCATTCCCTTTCTGCTGTTTGTTCTGACATAGAAAGGCAGGAATCTTTCTGCGCTTCCAAATACTCACTCTAAATAAACTAAAAATATTATGTAATATTTTTTCTGCCTTGAATTTCCAGAAATAAATAAATAGTAGATTTTAATACAAGCATACATATTCTTTAAAACGCGGATATATTAAAATAAATTTCTCTGCTGCTATTATTAGCTAAGTATTATAATTTAGTGAAATGATTTTCACATGAAAGATTAAAAAAGAAAAGACAGATTAGAAAGTCGATTAATACATGAAAGATAGATTGGAAAGTCTAATATATATCTATAGATTGGAAAGATTAATATATGAAATTGTTTACATTTAATAATAGATGTTTAACGTGAAACTCATAATATTCAATTCAATCGTGAGTATTCATAGCGTTTAATTCCCATAACGCAAAACGGAATTTATTGATCTTATCCAATTAATTCATATTTGCATAAAATCACAGTTACGTCTGTCATAAGTATACAGGCTTTGGTATACATCTCATAATGAGTCTATTACTTGATAAACGAGTCGTTTATGACAATAATGGTAATATATAATCTCCTATTGATGACAGGATAACAGCGTAACGTCGT